GTAGGTTGAGTGGTCGATTCTCGCCAGGACCACACTTACCAAATTGTAAGGAATAATTATGGTGTGGAAGAGGAGATATTAGTTCACTAGTTTGAGAGGAGGAACTCCATCACTAAAAAAAAAAATACGATCATTGGCAGGAAACAAAAGAGAATTATTGATCGGGAAAAAATTGCTGATGAAGTAAGAATGAGGGGGATGAGCGCAGGATTTTCTACTGGTCTTAATTATATGCCCTCTTCAAAAGGGAAACCCAACCAACGACATACTTTAGTGAAAGTGAATGGGGAGAGAATGTGAGTACTTTGCATGAATACGCAAAAAAAGACTATTGTTTATCATTCATTGAGTAACATAAATTTTCTGTTTTTCTGATTAAGAATTTGATCATAAAAAATTTCTAAATTTCAGTGTGACGTACAGACAAGCAGGATTTCAAAAAAAATCTCTTCTTAATCTAAGTGAAATATAGTAACCAAGCGTTCATGTAGATTCTAATGAGCAGTTTAGTTGTAGTTTATACGACTTTTTCAAATGTGAAAAAGTGTTTCTGAAGAATTATTAAACAAGAAATTAATTACATGTGCAAATATATTTTCTAAAGTGAATTCTCTTTACTTGTGAAAAAGCGAAACTAAGAGTAGTTGTGAAGTAATAGCAGTTATGAACCAAACTAAATTTTAATTTACAAAATTTAATTCTAATTAAGTGCCAAAACTACAAATATGTATTGCACTAGAGCTGGTCATATATGGTGTGGTCATTTTATAGTTTAAATATTAAAATACGCTTCTGTAATTAAATTTTGCGCAAAAAATCATCAGCAAAAATTAATAAAACTTTCAATTAATCATGGCTTTAATTCAATTAAAGAATTAAAATTAAATTTTATTTAAAATTTAAATTTTTGAACTTTTTAAAAATTTTAAAAATTTGTAATAGTTTTCTTACATTAAACAAGGAAATTGGTTCTAAATTATCAATTTTGGTTTTAATTAAATGCCAAAACTGCTAAAAATAGCAATATTTTGAACTTAATTGGTTATGTTGTATGCATTGCAGCAGAGCGGGTCATATATTGTGTGGTCATTTTATAGTTTAAATATTAAAATACGCTCTTGTAATTAAATTTTGCGCAAAAATTCATCAGCAAAAATTAATAAAACTTTCAATTAATCATGGTTTTAATTCAGTTTAAGAATTTCAAATTTAAATTTTTGAATTTTTTAAAAATCATAAAAATTTGTAATAGTTTTTGTTCGCTTCAAGATCCTTTCCCAATTAACGTTGATGAAAAAAGACCGAAAGACAACAACAACATCATTGTGGTTTCACCTATAAATTTTGCTTTTTTAATTTTCATTATTTTTAATTTACTTACCTCACTTTCTGATAAAGTAATCAAACATTGGCAAGTGCTGATTTATTCAAAATTGTAGAAAAATCCCGTTAAGAATAGAAAAATAATTTATGTAGAAAGTTACTGTCATTTAATACAATTGGTTGTTCAGCTTTTTCTGAATGAATACAAAAAAAACCAAAGACGAAAATTCAATAAAACAAAATTAACCAAATGCTAATGAATGAAAAAAAAAAAGTTTTCAGTTTAAAAAAAACGGATTATTCTTATAAATTTTACGAAATTTTGTTTAGTTTAAGCTGCTCAATTTTAACAAGAATAACCGTCGATTTGATTATAACAATATTTATGAAAGGCTGAATAGACTTTTTGATAATTTCGGAAGTCTTTATAAAGAACTGTAAAAAATTTTGTCACACAGTGTGTAACATTTATCATTTCCAAATTTTTCCTTTTTCTACCACTTTCTGTTTCCTATTTTTTTTTGCTTGAGCATTTCATGAATTCATAATTTGAACCAACGAAATAAATGTTTGATAGTTCGTATTGATAGAGTTGTCATCTTTTAATTTCGATGCATCGTTGTGAATTAATGTAATAATTGATAAGAAAATATATCCAAACAAATTCCTATTTAACTGAGCAATAAAACAGTTCACATCCTTTTGTTCATTATCAAACATATTTGATTCATAAATTAGAATGAAAATAATCGTTCACATTGAGTATTTTATCTCTCAGATGAAACTTTGCAGAGGGAAAAATTATCTTCTTTGCAAACATTCTAAACAATAGAACAATGCATAGCTGGAAAATTATTATGGAATTGCTTGGTGGATTCAGTATTTGTCATTTAATTTTATTCGCAAATGAATTGAATGGGATTAGTGCTGGTGCATTACATAGCAAAATGCTATATAATGAAGGAAGACACATATTGCGAGCAGCAAGAAGAATAACAAGGCTGGCAACAACAACAACAACAACAACAACAACAACAACAACAACAGCGGCAACAACAGCAGCAGCAACAGCAACAACACAATCTGAAGTAAACAAATTTTAAAATAAGAATGGCACCTCTGTCCAGTATTTTAAATTGTTGTCGAAATGGTAACATTGCTATTAGATCCATCACAACGATTACAAATGAGACACAATGGACATATCATTAGGTTTGATTCTGCAAAGATCTTAGCAGAGTTACTTATCAGTTCAGTAGAATATTTCAAGATAATGTGATAATGAGCTATATGTTTAGCTGATGGAAGTACTGGCCTCTCTGAAGCAGCGACATTCGAACTGTGCACCGCAACAACAAATCATTCAGGAAGTAAGTCGAGAATTAAAATTATCACTGCTTCAAGCTTTTTCAACAATCGAACTTATAAACATGAAAATATTTGAGTGATAGAGAGGACAGCTTTTTGACATAATTAAACAAAAAAATTTTGAATATGAAAACAATACGCTAAAATTTTGTTATCAAAGAAAGAGAGCAAATAAAATGCAAATAAATGTTTCATTTTACAGCTCGAGAAAGGCATAATCAAACATAATACATTAGAGGACTATTATTTTCTTCTCGATGAGGAATTGTGTGGAGAATTGATCAATTTAATAGCTATTGCATCCTCTGTAAGTGGAATCAAATTTTTTAGCTATGGTTATTGATTTCAAAAAATAAATTATAAAGAAAAGGTTTGCTGTAAAGGTTCAATTTTCAAAGGTTGAAGAAATAAGAAATTTTCGAATTCTTTTGTTATGATAACGATAACATTTCTCGAATTTTCCTGAAAAAAATGATTGTTAATATTTTTAAATTTTGATTGAAACAATCATTAGGAAGCACCAGTAATGTGTGCGTAACCGATATGACAAAGGAATGAAAAGTTCTAAAGAGATAATTGTTCACAACTATGGTTCGCTTAAGTAACTAAAGGTCATGAAGTAAGTATCACTTCTTTATATGCAATTTCAGGTTACTGATAGCTCATTCGTAGTGGAAAACGATAAAAAACTTGATCTTGCAAAATTCATTTTGGAGAATTTCCTGGAAGACTGAAATGGCGTAGTATGAGAAATGCTGAATATTCTAATTTTGTTGTTATAAATTTAAATAAAATGCCCCACTGTTTTTCATATTTACTTTGCGCAACTCTCAAAAGCTTAAATATATGCTTCAACAATTGATAACCTAGTAATGGAGTTATATTGTAGTATTATGAGTAAACAAAACTTACAAAAGTCTGCATTGCGTTAAACATATCAATGCGAAAAATGATACATAGTTGGCGCAGATATCATAGCTTTCCGATTTTGACACGTTGAAGTGAAAAAGTATTTTTGATATCATTCCTTCTTCGAGAGTGATATGATAATTGATAGAAGGATGGAAATTGAAGCTAATGAAGTAATTACTGGTGAAATTAACTACAGTGACAGCTTAAAATTGTCTAATTCCTAAATCATCCGATATGCTTGCATGCGTTCATTATAGTATTTACATTTCTTTCTGTCATTCATTTTTTTCCCAATGAATTAAACGGAATTTCTAAAATACGCTGTTGTTAATTTCACGAAGTGACCTGATTGAATTAATGATAACAAGCAATTTAGCATGAAATCTTCAGTTATGAAGCTATTTTGTAGAATTCTTTTTTCCTATTTATTTACAGTAAGGTTAATATGAATGTTTTAAAGAAGCTATCACTACGATGGGTTATTCCTCAAATTTATCACAAAAAATTATCTTTTGAAATGTTTTTTTTTTTATTTATTAAAATAAGCGAAGAAAAAGATAACAGAATTTGAATGCTTTTTGTGAATCATACAGCCACAATTAAACTGAGTTAGCTTTTATGAAACGAGTTCAGATTGCAGTTCAATTAAAGGAATAAAAGACATTGGATGAGAAATTTTTTGAAACAACAAAATTCCATCTAAATTTTATCACAATTAATAAACCTATGACATGTCTGTATGAATCAAATTCACATATTAGATCAAAGTTTGATTCTTCTTGCATAGTAGCAATGCAATATTTAAAGCTCACTTCTATTAATAAATACCACCGAAAAGTGTTGAATTGGTCGTGCGCAATATGACAATGACAGTAAATTACATTGCTAATAAGCGATTGCAAAGCGATTTCAATCTAATGAATGCAAATTCATTGCTTAAGCAGTAAAGTCTTTGACAATATCACTAAAAATAAACGACTAAATGACTGTGATACAATTGTTTTGTCAACTGTCACTCATCTTACTTCCTTGTCACTTGTTTTTAAATTAAGAAACAAATAAAACTTCACAAAGTTATTGCCAAAATTTAAAAAAAAAAAAAAAAAAGGAAAACAAAAATAATGCAAGAAGTAATTAATTCCTTAAATAACTTAAACACAAGGATTTGAAGGATATTTCAACAATTGATCGTATCGCACCTGTTAAAATAAAATTAAATTATTCGATGAGTAAATGAATTTATTCAGTAGATGTTTACAAGAATTGAACTGAAAAACTTTGATTGAAAAAAAGAAAACAAAAGTGACAGTATTTTCGAGACAATAACGTTTCTTTAAAATATTTGTTGTAAGAGAATTCCAAAAAAAAAAAAATTTCTTAAATAATTTTTACCATTTTCAAGCATTCTTTCCTGCAGATCTTTCGAAAACTGCCTGAAAAAAACACAAATGATATTTTCAAAATTCACTGTGAATCGATTTTCATTCCTTAATGATTCATATATCTAACAATTCTTTCTAAAAATTAAATGATAAAAAAGCATCAAAATACATACAAAGTAATGGTCAGCTACTTCACTGCCAGTTAATTCCATAACCTTCCGACGATTTTCCTGAACAGTTTTCCTGACATATTTTTCTGTCCATACTATAGCAATTGGCAAGGTTAATGCGTATAATGGAGTTAGTTGTACACCTGAATTTTAGTAAAATTGTTTATAAAACTCACCTGCATAAATATTTCCGAACTCACACTACCAGTATTAAAAAATTCATAAAATAGTTTCTAAAAATTTCATTTCCTTAATAAACGATACAAATTACACGATGATGACATAATTTTAGAAATTCGATACGATATCGATAACTCAGCAATGTTTCAAACTTTCAATAACAAAATTACCGTAAGAGTTTTGTAGTGGTAATACATTGTATCTATTCTAAAGTTTTATCTTTAATATATGTCCATATTAAAATTTCAATTTCGAATTAGTAAACTAAATCAGAACGAATGCAATCATTGATATGCGTAATAATAAGGTCAATATTTTCGTTGAACTGTGTTCAAATTTTAGTATTTCATATTTTTTGCATTTCAAGTCTTACATCTTTACTATTAGCTGAATTAATTTAACTTTAATTAAACTTCAACACATACTGCTTCATGCTTATTCATTCACATATACAAATCTTTTCTAAATTCAAAAAATCTGAATTATATTTGAAGATAAAACGAACATTCCAAGTAAATAGCAGTTGTGAGAGAAAATTTGGGAATAGTGGAATTGAAAGTGTAGTACAGACAGTGTGCACTCATGTAAACTGCCAGGAGTAGCGCATGAAATGCTACCATTGGTAATAATGTCTGAAGGGAATTGATATTTTCCATGATTTGATAACGATGTGATAAGTTAACGTGAATTTTGTTTCGATGTAATCTCTGAAATTTGGCAGGATGAAATCTGTGGGTTTTTTTTGTGTCAACTACAAAGTAAAATTCAGAGCAAAAAATAATTTAAAAAGATAACCTTTGCCATACAATTTTCTAAGAATGTCTAAGAATGTCGAATGCAAGTAAATATTCATTGTCAAAAGTTTAGATGAGGTAATTGGGCGGAAATTAACTTTACAATGCATTTTCATTTATGATGACCAAGGTCATTTATGGGACAGATTAAAGATTGGCCTATTTTACTTCTTCTATTTTTTTTTTACCTAAATTTTTAGGTATTTCAACTGGTTTTAACTGATAAATATTTGACTCTTGGAAAAAAAAATTTTTTTAGCAAAATTTAAGAATTTCCTTTTCTTAATAATAATTTCTTAAGTAATTTATCTGTTAATGGATATATTTGCATAATTTTAGCGCCAACTCATTTTTTTATAAAAATGTAATTTATCTGTTAGTATATGAGAAGCTTAAAATTCGATTAATTGATTGCCTTGTTAATAGAAAATAAAAGTGGAAGAACTAATGCTGAGATGAAAGAAATGGCTGCGTGAAAGCTAAGAACCACAATAACTTTTGCGCTTGCTTTATTACTTGCTCGAGCGCAGTAAACCATCATTCCATATTTAAGCAATGAAAAATTGCCATAAATAAATAAAACGCACCCAATTCCAATTACAGTCTGAAAAACTGTATTTGCTATAGAAAAATATTACAGATTTATTAAAGTGGTAGGCTTCTTTTCTAGGATTTATGTTGCTTTAAATATATCATTTGAGACTGTATCTCAAAGGATCAAATTCATCATTATTTAGCCAAATTTGTTAGACATTCTGCATCTCATTAATATAAACGAAGTCAAAATTTAGTTCAATAATATTTTCAAATTATCAATGGATGAAAACATTTTGACATTGTTTAATTTAACTTAAATCATTGATGAAAATTTTTCAATTCTTCATACCTGTGCCATGATAAGTACAACAGCGATAGTTTTTCCAAAATTTTCGTATTTCGATGAAAAAAATGTAGCAATAGCTCGCTCACTAACTATTGCAGGTACAGAAGCAACATTTAAGGACGATGTTAGAATAATCGGTCCTCGTATCATCAAACATTCCCACGGGAACATCATATACCCGCAGGGATCAGTGTGCTTCTTCTGATATCCCACTAACATATAGGTGTAGGTAAATACTCTATAACAAAATTCATCAGAAATTTCTACGGAAGAGTACAATCAACATAGTTCTTCGAGTTTTTATTTTGTCTAAAATGATCAGAAAGGGCTTTTCGAAATTAGTGTATGCGTCATTTGCTTAGTGACACGCATTTTATCAAATATTTCCTCTTCTTCTGCATTCTTTTGTTATTGTTTTGCTTTTTTCACTTATTATATATGAATGATTTCTTTGTGCTTAATTTTTAGTTGTAACATTATTGTGTTACTGCCTTGTAGGTGATAAAAAGGAAAGGACAAATTTTAATTTTTCCACAAACTTGAAAAATGAAGAAACAACCTTATGGCACAGTGAAGAATGAGCCATAACTGATGTGTGATAATCAAAATTCGTGTATTTCGATGTAATAAAATACGATTTGTTATCTTAAGCATTACCCATATTTCAACAACAAATCCTGTCGCTGATATGATAATCCAAACAATGATAATAGCGTTGAATGCGACACTATTAGCCAATTCACTTGCTTGCTTACATGATTCCATATTTATAATTAGCCTAAAAATTTTGCAGCTTACTACTTTTCAATTTTAACAATTAAAATTAAAATATCTTCTTATAGGAAGATATTATATGTAAACAAAAAAATTAAACATTTAATTCAGTAGGAAAAAAACTTGTTGAGAACATTTGATAATTTTGATAATAAGCAAGAACTTTGATAATAAGCAAGAAATCACCTTTAATTAACAGCTGATGTTGTTAACTAAAATTCTGTTGACAGATGTCATACATTCTTTTCAGGCAACTGTATGAAGATGAAAAGAGAATGAAAATGATGCATGAAAAGCTTTCGAATATTTTATGAGAAAAGTTTTAATGACTTATTAAATAGTTCATGGAAAGCTTAATAACATTAAAGCTAGAATTGTGTGAATACATCAATGATTCTCATGGGAGAATTATAAAACTACCGACAATTTGTGAATGGCAGAATTTTGTTTTCAATAAAGAAATGTGAGAAATGATTGATATTTAAAGAGAAAAAAAAATGAGATAAATAGTATTTTTCTGTAAACACTGGGAAGTTTAGAGATGGTTTAATTTTTTCTTCTATTTCATTTTTCTACAATTTCATTTCTCTTCTTTCACCTGTAATTTATAACTTCTGTACTGAATAAGATATTTGATATCAACCACTGATTTGCATTATTTCACTTGGTCCAAATGATGTTTTGAAATCGGACTCAGTCACCTCATTATTCGGATCAATCTTCATCAATATTTTCGAAAAGCTTTTGAATTGATTGGAAGAAAACGTAAACTCTTCAGGATAGTTTTTCAAATATTCTTGCTTCAGCAGTTGTCAGCTTACAATATCAATATTTTGAGTTTAACGATTATTTATAAAACTTGAAAAACAAGTAAAGAATTGGTTAAATAATTAAATTTTACGATAGTAATTCAAGTTTTTAGAGTTCTGCTGCTATTAATAAGCACGATAAATTAAAATGAATTCTGTCCATTACTTTATTTATTAATTTGTGGAAAAATTTTAATTTCTCATGAGATATGGCTTGAGAAATTTGCACATGAAAAGATAAAAATAAAATCATTTACTTAAGCATTAGTCATGTTTTCTAAAAATTATTACCTGATATTCTTCACTAACATTGTTTGATGCCTGAACACTATTTATTCTTTTGATTATATTAGCATATTAGTTCTTGCTTTTTTTTCTGCTAAATTTGAGAGCTTCAATCCACCATTTTTCGTTTCTGTGAATATTCTGCAATTCATTAATTAAAAAAGTCAATTATGGTGGCAAAGTTACGTCGCATTTAGGACTTTTAGTGACCATTTTTCCTTCTTTGCAAATCTTAAGGTAAATATGAAATTCTTTAATCTAGTAAACAAATCAAATGCAATACTAAACGATACTTTCAAGATTTTCCATTTTTGCGAAACGATTATATTTATATTTGACAGTTGTAAATTTAAAAAAGCACATGGATTAGATAAAGCTGAATGATCTGTGATGCAATTAACACTCACTTCGTTCTACCAATAAACCAATTCCTTCACACATGATTGGTGGAAATAATTGCCTTATAAAACTGGTCATTAAGTACTAAAAAGCATCAGTCAGAGTGACCAAAACAAAAACCATAAAAAAGTGCGAGCTGCTTCGTCGATATAATCATTTATCAGAATTTGAAAGAAGATAAAGATAAAGATGATGAAAAGGAAAAAAGAGGAAGAAGAGTACGGATTTGATCATTGTCTACTTTGATCTGAAATAAAAGTTGCTTAAAATAGATGGGTAACGTTAGATGAACCAAAAGTATACGAAATATTTGATATTGTAGAAATTTCCCAAATGATATCATTAAAAACCAATTCAATAGCAAAGAAGTCAGCTGAAGGGGAGATTTATTTAATTACACTTACAATATTATATGACATTAGATAAATTATGTGAACAACAGAATGTCGGGGGAAAAAAATTAAAACATTATTTAACTAAGAAATTTAATTAACAAACTTTTTAATCTTCATTCATTGTCACATAGAATTAGTGGGGAAGATTAATGACAAATCTTGATCCATCCAAACTCCCTCATTAATCTGCAATAGATTTATTAATTGCACAAAATAATTTCGGATATTTTTAAAAAAAAAGTGCAAATTGAAAAGATAAAATTTAAAAATTAATGTATATCATCAACAACCTAGCCAACTTCATAAAATAAAGACTTTACTTGACTGTCAGCATCATCACTTCTATATCGATCAAGAAAAATTTGACTTATATGCAATCACTTTTCCTATATATGCTGGATGGACCCTTCAAGAAATTGTTGAATCCAGCAATTCCACACGATCTCCCTTTTGGAATATTAAAATTCTAATCAACAAGCGTATGAAAAATTTTTCATGAATATAAGTGATCATATTCCAATCTTAAACTTTTACTCTTGTCGATAAGACTAACACTTAAAGCTGAATTATGAAAATATAATTCAGTTCATATGTAGTAACAACGAAACCTCACATTTTTGTTTAACAGAAAGTAGGCGATTTGTTGATAATTAATTATTAATTACGGAGGGAAGCTCCATATAAGATAAATCATTGAAATTTCGTTCTAAAAAAACGTGTCTTTCCTTCTCCGTAAAACCTAATCTTCAACTTACAAGCCTCGATTCACAGACAGTTAATTCTCGAACTTGTATTTCCGGCCAGCTAATAGTGATGGTTCTGTAAGCATGTATTTGACAATAAAGGATGTGCTAATTCGACTGTCGTTTATGAATTGATTCTGGCTGCATCAAAACTCGAGTTTCAGTTTTCTCTGCGCAGTAGCCTAAAAAAATACCAAATTGTAGAAAAATAACGAAAATGACTAGATCACACCAGCATTTATGATAAATGCGAGAGAATATATTGCTCAATTCATCATGTTACTGAACATATTGCTTTGATTTTGAATGTTTATAATAAGCAATATCTCGAAGAAACTAGTTGTTGGGAGTAAATAACTTGAATAAATGATAATAACCACTTAAGATGTAATTAGTTGTTACATAAGAATTAAGTATATAACACTACTACTCTTACAGAAAGTTTACTGCTAATTTCTGTATAAATGATCACGTATTTTTTCTATTAGTTTAAATTAAGTTGATTAGAAATTTAGAAACAAAAATTAGACGTGTTTATACATATTTCTGAAGCACATTCTTTATGTAAATAAGACTAATTAAACTAGAGATACAAACATTTTAAACTATCACCTATTTACACACCTAAACAAAAGATGGACAATCACACATTATTTTGTACGAAAATAGAAAACTGAATCAAAATCATAAAACGAAAACCATTTGAACAAATTGCATTTGTTTTCCTATACAAGATCATAGCTGTTGCACCCAATAAAAAAAAAAAAAACACCACGGTGATAAAAACAATGAAATCAGTGTAATCGATAAACTTAACAATCAAGGGAATGAAAGTTGTTCAAAGTTTGAGCTAAATTTTTGGGGGACGAAAACTAATGAACCATTGGGGGCAAATGACTAAGCAAGGAAAAAGAAACTTAAGGAAATGCAACATAATTTACCGACAGGTCAAATATCTTCAGAACTAATATTGACCAAAAATTATGCACATTATCACTTATTTCCTATTACATTCATTTCTTCGAAGCAATAAATAACAATGTCACTATTTCAAAATAAGAGAAAAGTTCAAAGAATAATGGTTAAGGTAAAAGTTTAAACTCAAAATTAACTTGAATGCTTAAAAAAGAAATTATCTTACTACATTGGTATTCCTGCATTTAATTATGTAGCCGAAATCCTAAACTCAGTCATGTCTGATTTTGAATTTCGAAAGAGTATATATGTACTATACGTCCAAAAAAATTATTGTACGTTTTGGAATACAGCGAAGGAAAAGAAAAAATATCATGATAATTCAATTATAAAAGTATGAAAAGAGAGATTACAATATCTCATGGAGATTACAATTTAAACATCTGAATGATTTGAAATGAGAACCCACTTTAAGGCTTGTTTCAATATACTTACTTCATATATTCAGCAAACTGTGCTTGATAGAAATATTCCACAGGAACAACATATGTAGGACAGCGAGAATTGACATTGCCAGATCGATCCAAATTTGCTAAAACTTTTTCCAAAAATGTATCCCAGCAATAGCTACACACCACTGCTTCCTGACTAACCACTGGCACGATAACGCACAAATTTCGACGACATTATCAAATCTGCAAATGATAATCAAGATCCATCCTTCATTTATGTTTGCGAATAGTAATTAATTGCTTCTTGGATATCTTTCTACTGTCCAAAGGATACCTCTATAAGCTATCTAAAAATAACACAAACTATCTAAAACTAGTTAATACTAGACTTAAATATAGCTTTGTCTCAATCAATTCCACTTTCATGGACATCTGTCACCACAAATGTCACTGTGATATTGAGTTATTCACCATATTTTACACATTTGATCATCAAAAAAAGGAAAAAAAACAGATTGAAGAAAAAAAACTTATATAGGCGCTTACATCCTAAGGAACTTATTTTGCTCGTCTTAACATAGTATCATATCAACAAATACAACTTATACCAGAAAATATTTGAAACTTGAGAGTTGAAATAGGCAATCGCTCTACAGATTTATTACACATTTGTAGATCGAGCTTATACACAATTCGATTAATAGAGATGGATCAAACTGATACATCGCTACTACTGAAACCTTCTTCGAACTAAAGTAAAGACAACCTTTAATCTCACTTACTTGAATAACACAAAGAACAGTACTGCTTCTGAAGCAAAAACATTAGTGTGAACTATGTTAATGTTATTTCTATATATATTTCTGGTAAATCGATATCGTCATCATTTTAATATTTCATTTATTTCACCAGAAAGAAGCGGAACTCAACTTACCTAACCATAACCATGCCCCATTTTTACTAATTTGAAGTCAAAAAAAAAAAAAAATCAGA